CTTACAAAACTTGGTATTCCCAAGCGGTCATCTGCTTAAATACTGACCAGGCTCGACGTTGCTTAACTTCTGTGATCGTACGGGAATCGATGTATCAAAGTGAAATGGCGGTAAACCTTTTATTTGAAGCGATAGAAAGTCAACGTCTTGATTTTATCAGTAATTGCTCTTCGAGATACATTTGCTCAAAAGCAAAAGATTCGTGTAGCCTTTCCTGCTATTCTGAAATTGAAATGGGGATTTAGCTCAAAATCAATACAGAAAAGTTGGGAGAATATATAAATAACTTTCGACATGAACAAGGAATTATGAAGAAACATACAGGATAAATATTAACGGCTTTTTTTAAAGTCACTAATCTTCATTCTTTTCTTTCTTTACGAGAAACGCCAGCTTAGCGGAAAAAAAAGTACTACTGTTTTACTAGATAAACATACACACAAATACACACATATTTCTTTCTTTCTTTTTTTTGTTCAGATGAAGCCTAGAAAGGCGAAACTTGTATTCAAATCTAGTTTCAGTGGAACGGTTTACTATTGGTCATATATATATATATATATATATATATATATATATATATATATATATATATATATATATTTTTAAGGTGTGCTATATTTATGGGATAAAGTGCTCAATATCAGAGATAGAACGTAGGTAAATATAAACCTGAACACTGAAATCAACACTCAGATTGCGTTTAGCATGAAAGAGTCTGTCGCCTCTGAGTGTTCTTATATATATATATATATATATATATATATATATATATATATATATATATATAGTTGGATTTATGTGAGTTTGTGACCTGGGTTTCACGTTTATGCTATCGCCAGACAAACTGATTAATTTTAAGTTTTGATTTATATAGGGTTGTATATATCGGTGTTTTTATGGTGTTTTTTATCTGACGATCGCAAAAACGTAAAACGTGAAACCCAATGTCACAAACTCATATGGATCCAACTAAATACGTTAGCTCTATCACTGATATTGAGCGCTTTCAATAAGTACCGCATATATAATATATAAATAATATATATTATAAATTGCATATATATATATATATATATATATATATATATATATATATATATATATATATATATATATATATATATATATATATTCACATTTGCACATATACATATATATATATATATAATATTTTATATTTGTATATTTAGGCAGCAAATTCTCTTTTGTCTGAATTAAATTTTTCCGTGTATTATTGGATTGGTGCATAATTATCAGGCGTTTGTGTTGGCAAGTTACTGTTTTTTTTTGTTTTGTTTTTTTTTTGCCCGTGCAATCGACCGTCTTTCTAGCCAATGGGAAACAGTGATTGAAGTAGATGACGACTATGCTCCGGAATAATCATTTAAAGATATTATTGTTGTATTGTTATGTTACTTTTATTAAAATAAATATTGTTTAAAAAACGCCTGATAATTATGCACCAACCCAATACAATCATGTGATGCAAGGAATGCATTGTCACGGTGAAATCACTTTTATTTCCCAAGTACTTTCCATCTCTTTCTGAGATCATCATCAGGGGTGCAACTAATCAGGCAAAAACTATGTGTCGCTATACATTACTGATTTTTTTGCTTTTTTATTTTTTTTAATAGTAGATAATATATTTGATAGTTTTAGAGTGCTTCTGCCGAAAGTCTGAACCATTTTCGAGGGTCATTTTCTATTAAACTGCTATAAGAAATAAGGTGTTATTGTAGTCATCATCATCATCATCATCATCATCCCCTTGACTTTTGTAATCATACGGTGGATCCTAATGTAGAAGCCACATTAACTCTTCCACAACAGTCTATTAATGGCATGGAGGAGAGGCACGTTGAAGTAATGGATAGCCGCTAGGACTGAGGAATCGGAGACCCGAGTTCGAATTCCAGTCGAATCCATTACGTTCACTTACCTACTAAAAGCCTTGGGAAAGGTATGAATCCTCTTCTTCTCTCACCACCCGCTACGGGTAAATAGCAGGACAGACCGGGTTCTATAGCCTTGGATGGCAAATGGTATACCGCAGAAAGAAATGGCGGGAAAATATCTGCCTCGCCAGTCATGTGTCAAAAGATAGATGATCACCTAAGCATGAATCACGCCTGACACATAACTGATTATTAACGGCAGCAATTCTGGTACCTGTGCATTTTTTTTGACATTGTTCAACCGATTTTTGCGTTGGCACCCTCTCCTACGTCCATCCTCAACGATGCTAGTCTTGCACAGGCTGTCATGCCTTGTAATGTGTCCAGACCCCGCCATTTTTCTCCGTTTGACAATGACGAGAAGAGGTAACTGGTGTCCCCTAAAACTTTCAACCATTTTCCTCGCAAACTCATTGTTTTTTTTTTGTTCCCAATAGAAAATGCCAAGGTGTTTTCTCATGCATTTGTTCTCAAAGGCTTTTATCCTTCTCTCTCTATCTGCCAACAGTGTCCACGTTTCACATCCATATAGGAGAATGGAGAGTAGCAGCGGTTTGTACAGTCTGCACTTTGTCTGAAAGCTGATTTTGCTTCTCCATATTCTTGTCAATTTCGCCATTTCTGCCACAATTCGTGTACGTATTTCCGAGTTGCAGGTACCATCTTTAGACAAGATTGCTCTTAAGTATTTAAAACTGGACACTTCCTCCAGTGAATTCCTATTCAGGGTAATGTTGATACAGGTGTTACTGTTTATGCTATTCACCATTACTTTGGATTTCTCCATTCCATATGCTCCTGCTCTTTCAAAAGTTTTTTGGTCAAGTCCTGGAGCTCACTGTTACTGCCTGTTAGGAGATGCAACAATTGGAGACCCTAAAATGAAGCAAGTACAAAAATCTAAATATCCAGGAATCTTCTAAACAGAGGATGGAAAATAAGAACCGAAAAACAGAAGGTGCATTTGAATAGTTAAATTTAACTTTCCAAAGCTAAGCAAAGCATAAAGAAAAAGGATAATTTCGTTAGAAACAAAGAAAAGAGGGCTAAACTGTTAAGCAATATCAGTAATCTTCTATGACAGTGAATGCTAGACAATCTCCTTACTGAGGAAATGGTGTAAGTCGAGTAAACAGAAATCTGGTTCTACGGAAGGATGCTGAGAATATCATGGACCGAACATGTGACCAAGGCGGAAGTTCAAAGGCAAATAAAAACAAAAAGCACATACTTAGTTTCAGAAAGAGACAGTTGAAGATTCTAGGGCATATAATGAGAAACGTGGGCTTGGAGAATTTGCCACTCACAAGACATATTGAAATTAAGTAGAACAGTAAAACAGAAAAAAACCTTGCTAACGAGTTTGTGTAAATGTTTAAGAGAACGGGGATTAAGAGAGATACCATAAAGACAAACTTTACGAGAAGCTGAAATTATAGGAAGTTGTGGAGAGCCATGACTTTCCATATCCGGAAAAGAAACAGCACATAGAAGCAGATGTATAACAATATATATATATATATATATATATATATATATATATATATATATATATATAGAGAGAGAGAGAGAGAGAGAGAGAGAGAGAGAGAAATAGGAAAAGAACACGTTAGGTAAATAATCCGGAAATCATTAGTATTTTTGTTTTTATTAAAAAAAAAAAACAAAAAAAAAAACAGTGCTCCATACAGATGTATAGCTTAAATTATAATTATCTTTTAAAAAATATGATGCCTTCGCTACAAAAGAGTTCTCATGTTTCAAAACCGAGAGTCGAAAACCTCAATATAATTATTAAAATGAAATTGAGTTAAAGTATCAAGAACCCAAGCGAAAATTTAGGAACTTATTTAAATTTAATTCCTAAATTTTCGCTTGAGGATGAAACAGGGCTTGATACTTTAACTCAATTTAATTTTTTAATGATATTGAGGTTTTTGGCCTCTTTAAAAAAACTGAGAACTCATATGTAGCCAATGAATAATATTTTTTTAAAATAATTATGATATATATATATATATATATATATATATATATATATATATTCTAAGGTAACTTAGATGTGGAACAAGGCCATATATATGGGGTACACACTGAGTTCAACCTTGTGCCACATCTAAGATGCGCTGAGAAAATCAATATATATATATACAGAGAATCTAAGTCGAGTTCAACCACGGAATATGTGAGCGAGCGGCGCTTTGTTGAGTCTGGTTTGCGATCTCTTCGTCACCGAGGCCCAGTGGAACAGTTGGTATGATGTTCGCTTGACAACTTAACTGTCAGGGTTTCAATTCTCGGTAGTGGATGCGCACTGCTGATGAGTCCCAAACATAGGATGGAACGGCCGTCCAGTGCTTTCTGCATTCTGTTGAGGTTTCTATCAGACTCGATGAATTATTAAAATATATATATATATATGAAAGTCTGTGTGTGTCCGGATAAATCCATCAATAACATATTAGCCTGAATAACTCGGGAAAAAATGTCATTGACTGATCCCATCTGGTATACTGTAATGTTGTTTGTTTAGCGGCATATCAACACTTTATGGGTCATTTAATGCCGATTTTTTTTTTCTTGGGTGCATTAGTAATTTATTTTGTATTGTTGTTAATTTTTTACTGTGCAAATATATTTTATACTTTCATCGTGTTTTGACCCCAGTTTGGGGGTTAACTATTTGCCCATAATTGGGAGCCTAGCAGGTGCTACCAGCTCGGGTCAGTTTGGACCTGGAAATAATATCAATTAAAAGGTGGTTCCACGCTCCTCAAAACCTCCCGAGCAGTTGAATTGCTGCCGGATGTGGTTTATCTTCTTACCCTGGACACCCATCTGTGCTATCTAACCCTACACGGGATATACGAAGGCTACATTATAAAAGTGTGTTATCTCATAGTTTCAGACAGCTCTCGGAAATTCGGTGATCGCATCAAATCGTAGTGAGTAAACTAGGTAAAAAGAGAATATTCAGCTCGTTGATCAAACTGCATATTTTCCCATATTCCTATCGATTTTCCGAACAGAAAAACGCAAGGATTAATTTCTACCAATAGGTGGTTAGAACGCCATTCCCAAACGAGACCTCCAACACAAATAATCCCCGCCCGGTGTAACGACCAAAAGTGACGCCCACATAAGT